GAAATGGACAACCCTTATTGGAGTAATAGCTCATGCATTATTAATAAGTTTTATAAAGATAAATAGAAGGCACCATGATAGCAAGGCCAACGATATTCAACCAAACTGACACATTCATCTCAGGACATGGAACGATAGCCTGTCGTTAGGTCAGTTTTGGTCTGGCTGCACGCAGGCTAAATGGAACGATGGCCGCTCTATAAATAATATCCAGAACAGAAAGCCCAAAGGAGTCCCTACGGCCTCAGAACAAAACAAACTCTTATTTACTAAACACACGTGAATTTGGCGGTGACTGGAAGGTGATGGTCTACACTGATCCGGTTTATTCTGTGTTTATGGTTAAACACTGTATGAAACTCAGTCTAGAAGGTGAARGTCCCTCACAATCATGAATCGGCAATCAAAATTGCAGACTTTATGCGATGAAYTCTTTGCAATATGTTACATCATTTTACTCGCTGATTCATCATCATCTCAAAGGGAGGAGTTGTTCAGGAGTTGTGCCTGCAGTGATAGATACCTTTTTTCAACTAAGACAATTATTCACAGGTACTTCTGTCTCGCTTTGATACGAAGACTTGGCTACCTTTCMTGGTGGCGACGAGAACTTTAAGTTGGAGTATTGAAAGTCAACGTTTTGCGAAGCTAAGGACAAACCTCAGCTCCGCTAAACGTGGACTTTCAAATGCAATTGAAAGCACATTGAACTGAACTCAGCACACCTTGCAGATTTTACTATTTTAGTCTTAAAAAAAAATCATTAAAACCAGAACTCATGATATTGATTTCGGTCTTCTATCAAAGCGTCACCTTTATTCAATGGTTATAGCTGCAACCCCGTCAAATAGAAGCAGCAATTCTTGGAGAACTAAGTTAAATTTCTATTTACAGAAATCCTGTGAAAAACGTACACCCCCACACGCCAGGTATAAGAGAAAATTCACAGTCAATCAGTGAAGAATATAATTTCTGATACAACTATAATTCACCGACTGGTCTCACTATGGAATAATCCCAGTATCTTTACCTGATC